CCAGGAACCCCCCTCCCCGGGATCCGCGGAGCAGAGCCCGGTCCCTAGAGAGGGGGGAGCCGGCCGCAGAGCCCCGGGAGGTCTATGGAGAGGTAGAGCGCGCCAGGGCCGCTTCCCGCCGGGCGTTCGGGCCGATCGCTCACCTTCTCCGTGGCCGATGTCCGGCGGCGGCGCCTGCAGCACCCGCTCCAGCTCGGGGAAGGGCAGCTCGGGCAGGTCCAGCAGCGGCCCGTAGCGTTCCAGGAAGGAGCAGACGACGGCGAAGTTGGGGCACGAACCCGGGCAGCCCGGAGGAGCCATCGCCGCCGCCGCCGCCGCCGCCGCCGTCGCCATTTTGAACTGGAGGATGGAGGAGGAGGGGATGGGGGGGGCGGCGGCGGCGGGAGGAGTTGGGGGGAGCCGAGGGCCGGCAGGGCCGCTATGCGGACGACAGGAGGCGCTCGCTCGTTCTCTCGAGTGGACGCCCCGGCGGCGGCGAGAGTCTCAGGCCCGGGCGCCGCGATCCCACAATACCACGCCGGTCCGGAGCAGTCGAGAAGCGCGTGCGATAGGGGGGCCAGAGAGGCGCTCCGGGGCCTCCGCTCTCCGCCCTCTTCCCGTCCCCGGCCCTCGCCGACTTCTCCCCTCCCACTCCGGGGTCGCCGCGGCCTCGTGTGACAGGGGGAATGAAAACAAGGAGAGCGGGGCGGAGGGGCGGGCGGCGAGCCCGAGGGCGGGACTCGGGGAGGATGACAGCCAATGGGGAGCGAGGGGCGGGGCGCTCGGCTAGGCTCGCCCCAGACCTGGGAGCTGAGCTGTGAGGAAGAGGGAAAGCACCCGGGCGGGCGGACTCCAGGAGCCGCGGGGAGCGGCGACGCTCCGTGAGTGATCTCCGGGACCCGGGAACGGAGGCGACCGAGAGAAGGAGGGTGAAGTTGGACGGAGACACTAAGGCGCAGGGTAAAGAGAATGGCGGCTGGGAGTGCGACTGTGGGGAGCGGTTAGGAAAAGTGGAGGAAGGTGCGGTTGTGGCGGGGTGCGGGACCGTGGAGGAAAGTCTCTCGGGAAGGTCGCCGGGGGCTCTAGCCCTCTGCGGAGGGTTGTGTGACTGAGCTGTTCCTGGGAAGACGCTACACAGGTCTCCTCGCCCCAGGTAGGGCTCCCACAGACGGACCAAAGTACAGATAGTCCAACTTGGTGAACCCTTGAGTTTTATTTTTACGGGAGTGTGTATGGGTGAGGGTTTACTTACAGGAGCAGAAATGACTCAAAGACAGCTGCATCCATAAGGCACACCACAGCGCGGGTGACAGCTCCCAAAGTTGGGAACCCAGCACAGTGACAGCTCCCAAAAACTGGGAACGCTGCACGGGACAGCTCCCAAAAGCCGGGAGCCCAGCACGGGACAGCTCCCAAAAGCTGGGAACTCTGGAGCACCCTGCACAACCTGCAGATAGCTCAACAGGTTGGAGAGTGTGGTTTCCCAGAGACTCTGATCTGAACCCCTTCAGCTGATGCCTTTTGCTTCTTCCAGGCAGCTGGTCTGATCCCAGAGTCTTCTGTGCAGCCCAGCTTCTTTCAGCCTGAGGGGTTTCTCAGCTTTTATCGCTAACTCTGGCAGGGAGGGACCTGGTGAATCTGGTCAGTTTCAGGGACTTCCTGAAGCTATTTTGAGTTATTTTACTTTCCTGTTTAAAGAGCTTCCTTGCCCAGTGTAAACTTTTATACAATACTGAAGCGCACGAATCTCAGAAGAGTCCCAGGACTCACCAGCAGGGATCACTAGTAAGGAACCACACACACACACACACACACACACACACACACACACACACACACAC